AAGAAAGAAAGAAAGAAAGAAAGAAAGAAAGAAAGAAAGAAAGAAAGAAAGAAAGAAAGAAAAGAAAAGAAAAGAAGCAGGGAAAAGTCAGGTACTGGTCAGGACCATAAACAGGGGCTACTGTTAGGCCACAGCAAATACAGATTCTTAATTTCTTAATTCTGTCCCAGGGAAGGTGTAGCATGGAATGGCCTGGTCTCTTCAAGTCGTCGAGTTGTGGAATCTTACAGGGGTGAACCACTTTGTCCTTCCTAATACTGCCACACTGAATTCATCTCCTTTCTCAGCTTTCCCCTTTATTTGTCTGTGTTCTAGCAAGCAGAAGCTGGGATTGTGGCTCACATCTGTAATGCCATCCCTCCAGATGCTGAAGCAGAAAAAGCACAACAAGTTCAAGGTCAACCTGGGCTATATAGCGAGTTCAAGACCCACTCAGGCTACAGTGTGAAACCAAACCAAACCAAAATCTAAATGATCTAAATAAGCGCAGCCAGCAGATGGTTAAGCAAGCTATGAGGAATATAAACCAGGTTAAAGGTATAGAGAGGGATGGGCATTCCAGAGTGGGTGACCAAACAAGGGCAGATGCTTCACAAGCTGATTTACATTTGCAGGTGAGAGCAAGGACCACATAACTACTAACATGGGGACTGAATACCAGGCCTGACTCCAAAAACAGTCCATTAACATACATGCCATGCATGTCCTACGTTTGGTTTATTACTGGAGTTGTTAGGGTCAGAGCCTAGGCTGGGCCATGCATTTTCAATAGGTCAATTAAACAGACAAAGTGTGAAGCTGAAAAGAAAGATCAATGTGGCACCATTGGAAAGAAGGACAAATAAAGAGGTTCAGTGACCCCCAAGTTCACCTTCCGTGGTCTTGACATGAAGTCTAGGTGTAAGTGGAGGCCAGAGGTATGAATAACTAAGCAGTCCTGATCAAGATGTGATTCTGCCCATCAGCACTTGCTGTGGAACAGTCTTTTTGTACACTGCAAATATGTGTTGCTCTCATTGGTTTAATAAAGGGCTAACTAGCCAATAACTAGGCAGGTGGAGGTTAGGTAGGACTTGAGGACAGAAGAGTGGGGATAAAGAAGAGTGACATACCAGCCAGATGCAGAGGAAGCAGGATGTGCAGAAAATGAGGTAACAAGCCATGACCCACATGGCAGCACATAAATTTAAATATATGGGTTAATTTAAGTTGTAAGAGCTAGTTAGTAACAAGCCTAAGCTATTGGCCAAGCATTTATAAGTGATAAGTCTCTGTGTGGTTATTGGGAACTGACTGGTGGAACAGAGAAAGTCTACAGACAAGCACTCACTTGGTTCCCTCCAACTTCTCCGCAGGGTGATCTGAAGTCATCAGAACTGTGGGAAATCTCTGCCTACAAGACTATCTCCTCTTCCTTTGACTGGCTCAAGGCTTCAACCTTTTCCTTCTCCTAGCATAAGATTCCTAGGGAAATTACAATTTCTGACAGTCAAAGGAAGAGGCACAGATGTCTCCATAGAATATCTTCATTCCTGCAAGGACAGAGTAATTCACAGAACCTGACTTGGACTTTCTATTTTTGCTTGCTGATACTCAGAAGAATCAAGGAATGAGAGCATTCAAAGGCTAGAAATCAGAAAATCAGAGGGCAAGGGCACTTTTAGTCAAGGAACTTGCCCCACAGTGCAGTATACAGTACTGAGACTGCCTGTTCCTCCCCTGGGTCTCCTCACCTCTGGCCTGCCCTATCACACTTGGCCCTTGAACAAAGAGCCACAGAGTCCATCTAAAACAACTATTTGTGTCTTTGAGGCTCTGAACTGTATCTCTGAGTTCTGAGGAGCTGGTGGGACTGAAACAGACACCAACCAAGCAGTGGAATATAGGAACAGATTTCCAATGCCATGGAGCCCATTGTGAGTAGAATAGAGTGGGTAGAG